GATGTCTGAAATGTTTTGGTACCAGAGTTAGAACATGAGACTCGCGAATGACCGCTACAAGTGCGAGCGAAATCAGAAGAGAGAGTCAAAGTACGTGACCACGCTTGTATTCTGTGAAATTGTGCAAGTGCGCGTTTTTGTAGTTTTTGGTATTGAAACAAAAAACGATTATGCAATTGATGAAATACGTAGTGTTATAATGGAAGTAAAATAAAGGTACAACACGCCACCGAAGTGACTGGGTTGGTCCCCGTATTTGAGAGCTGGGCAGCTTTATTGCATCCGAACACAAAATGATTAGAGCTTTTACACGGAGGGAAAAATTTACAAGGCGCTCAAAACCAGGAAGGAGCTTGGGAGAAGTTCTTAAACGCATCTCCATTGTCCAAAGTTCGTCGGACGCGGTTCGGCAAAAAGGAGCGAATGAGTAGAAGCGGCTAAGAAAGCCTTTTTAGCAGGTAGCAATAAAATCCGCAACGCATCCAAAAGCACCTATCATTGGGAGTCGCTGGCATATAAGACGAAGGGACACAAACGATTTTCCCTTTTATCCAGTTACTATTGAACTGAACGTCCAGGGATCGTAGCACTCTAGTGCAATATTTTGGGCGCGGTCAACTCCACTGGGGCTCCTGTTTTCGTGTGTGGTTGGCTCAATTCATTTTTCAACTTAATGTCGATTTCAAAGGAATAGTATGCGGGATCTAAAAGGATACGTAAACAACGATCACTTGGATGACACTTATCCCGCTGATACTCCCCTGAGGACTGTTAATGATTTCCAAAATCGCACCCCCACAGCTCTCATGAACGACTTGGAGATTGAAAATCGAGCAAAAAGCCCCATGCATCTCAATCTCAGTGCATCCAGCATGTGTCGTAAGTATGTCATGTTTTCTTGGAACGATGCTGTATCTATATAATCAGTATCCCACTGAGATATAAGGTATTTTTCATCCGCTGATTGATGGGGAAATAAGGTCGTCTCCTAGCGAAGTTTCCTGTCGTTACTCAAAGAAGTTGAGAATGTCTCACACATCATCCAGTCTCCGATGTTGAAGGCCAGGCCACCGTTATGTGCGACATTCGCGGTGATGATGCTGACATACCGTGTTTGCCATTTGTCATCGAGTACTGTGGCGAGATAGAAAGAAGCTCTCAGCGTAATTGCAATGGTCGATAGGTTAATTTCGGCCGATGCGATATAGAGTTTTCTTTGAATAACCACACTCAAAGAGTCTTGGTGCCATTGAAGGCGAGGATTCTATAATAACCTCTGACAGAACCCAACATATCATTGTTCGCCAGTGGACGTCTAATACAGGTGCAAGCTTAGAATGCACAGTCAGGCTAGAGTGCTGTGCAGGCTACCACTTAACTTGACCTAGCAGCCCCTATATCAACGCGCTCTTCAATCATATACAGAAACACCTGTTTACTTTGTACTGCTACTATTGCCGCATAGCTCGTTAGGTCGACTACGTTCTGGCCTAGGTCTATGTGAGCCTTGGGTTCAGAAGTTTCTTGTTCCTTTCAAGCAGTGAAACCCTGAAATGCCGGATGCGTTACTCGCACAAGAAGTTTTTGTGCCGCACCCGACTGCTACTCAAAAAACTACTCCAAGAGTATAGTTCGTAGCGCCTTTTGATTGCTTAGTTAAACTACGACTGATGCCGAACGAATTCGAAGTTTCCTGTCTGTTTGGCAGCGCAAATACGCAGCAGAATGCGATGGTTACAGTTGCTAATTGCTCTGTCAGCCCTGTGTACGTTGTGTGGGCTAAAGAATTAAACACAGTTCATCATGCACCTATCTGAACAGATCAATGAAATATGGTTTTTGAACGCGCCAAACCATCCGACATTCGGATTCCAGTCCATGTTGTTAGCCAAAGGCGATCTAAATAGATGCCCAAACTTGATCCACTGTAGGAGCGTCGTTAAGCACCGCTTATTATGCTTGGCCATTTCTTTGTCAGCAAAAACTTCAAGAAAGCGTCCACCAGTCTAGACCATACGAAGTAGTGTATTTGGTAAGCGCATTATAGTCCAGAGCGAGGGTCTCTCACAACTCACCAAGACATTTGCTCCATACCTACACTTCACGGTTTGTCTCTCTTTACTAGTTGGGTTTTTTTATACAATGCAAACGTCTTACCTCGAATTCAGAACGAAAACACAGGAATCGTGGACCCATTCAGGGCTTAAGGTTCTTGAAAACCTTCCATAGAGCTTCCTGACATGCACGGCATCCACCTCCGCACTGCTTCGGAGTTTATACTGCTTGGTCAAGGAAAGCAGCTTTTCTATGTAGTTGGAACACAGTTTATTCACTTTTCTATGACAAGGATGAATGTGTATAACGCTATCGCGACTTAAGCTTATCAGATAGTGGCTGAAGTCTGCACACTGTATCGCACTCTGGGGCATACTTGTGAATCCTGTTTTCTACCGCTTATATGCTCCCGTGTCGCGTGACGCTTTACTCCATGATATGATATATTTCTATTGTGATTAAGCTATGAGGTTCTCCAGGAAAATTTGGCTGTTGAAATCCTGAGATGTGATCCTCATTATCATCATCGACAGCATTTCAACAGTGTCCAACAGCGGTGCTTTACTGCCGTACAGCCATGATTTATTTGTGAGCTATAATGTGAAGAAACGAATAAAAGTGGGGGGGGGATGAGGAACTTCGTGTTAGCTTGACACAATCATTCCGATGTGTCCGCACCTTCAGACACTCATTCAAGCAATCGTGATAGAAAACGATAACAACGTTACTTACGTCCATTGGCAGTTATCTTGCAGCGTCTTCAACCAGGCGCAGTGGCTTTACATCTCGATATAGAGACAGCGTTGTCCGCTGTTCTCAGAACAGTTCAGCTTTGTCGTTGTTTGCATTATGCACTAAAACATCGCTTGTTGCTGGGCAATCAGAGTTGAACGTAATGCTATAACATCCATTTTCTGGGCCAAACCTGGAGCGATCACAAGAAATGGACGATTCGCCGGATGTATTGTCCCATCCTCAGATATATATGCCTTGAAACGATGGGGATACGTGAGATCTGATCAAAGGTTTCACCACTTAATGACTTTAGGGAGGTATACAAGACAAATCGACTCAACGTTTTGATTTTTTGTGTAAAGGTTTTTTTAATTTTACAGGAACGATGAGCTCTTATTGTTCGGCACCCTGAGCACGGTGTCGAGTCTGGACAATTCCCAGTTTTAAGCAAATGACTGACTATGTATATAGACGGTATTGATCCCTGACATGTGCTTGATTATTTTGACGTGAACACTTTGGGCATACCATACAATTTTGAAAATTTTGTGTTTATGAACCTCAAAAATTGGCGGTGGTCTTGATGGTTTTGTGGTCTCGGCAGGATACGTATTTGTGTACACCAACTGGATTTTCTGAGACATTTATTGAGTAATTTCGTTTACTCCTTCAAATTTTGCATTCTTTGGGAACAACTAATTTCATCTGTGAGGACGATACCTGGTTTTTTATCCGGCTGTAGTGCAGGGGGCTTCCTATTGGTCGTTGATTGTCTTCTACGGCAGTTGTACGCCAAACACCACTGTCTTACAGTCATGCTTGTGCACCGATGATCTTGTTTGAGGGCTCATGCTCATCTTCCTCAATACGCCTGACAGGCTGAAAAAACCACAGCTCATGAATTTTGAAGCCAGTAGTAACGCCGCGCTCGATGTGGTTATATCAGCCCGGATGCATCTACTCCATGAGCCAGGGTAGTTAATCGAAAATAGGCTACAGCTAGCACTTCGTCTCCAGCTTGTTCGCATATTTTGCCTTTTTCTTCGACACACTCAACAAACACACTTGTACCTGGACGACAATACCCATGTTCGCCACTCGCCACTTTTAGCTTCAAATTCTATGAATTTACCTCAGAATTGGTCTTCAACACGAGATTATTGGCCCTGAAAAAAGCTCTAGCTCGTGTGACGAACCCAGTTTTCACTGAGTGTCTCCTGAGTCGTGGGCAACAAACCCGAATATGAAAGCCCCACTACTTACTCTGGTTTTCCTGTGCAGTCTTGGTAAACTAGTGAGCGCTGTGGCCCGCTGTGTGTGTTGTTGTTGTTCTGAGCAAATATAGATGTTATCACGGCTTGATCGACAATCCTTTTTGGCAATGTCCAAAAAATCACCCCGAAATTGCGCCGTTAATCGATGACTCATCATCATCATCATCATCATCATCATCGACAGCATGACATT